CACCCGTCATCATCATCAACTTACATATTATATTAGTTTGTATCTTGTTAACCTGTTATGTTTTTTTCCTTCTGACTTTTTCAACGCACCCGGATGCTTCATTTAAATTCCAGCACCAGCCCCGCCCCGCCCCACAACAACAACAGCGGATTTCCCAAAACGTTGTCTTCTTTGCTCAGCTGTTTGTACCAACCGAATCGGTGAATGCTTTTTATTTCATGGTTCTGGCCGCTCCCCTGCGCAGTACGCCACTTTTGTACTTTTGTTACTTTGAATATTTTGAGCAACAAGCATCTATATACACACACATATATATACTTAAAGGAACCTATCTATATAAGTATATCTCCGCCTAGCCAACAGCCCACACAAGTACACATATGCAAGAATTCTTCAATGAGTTGAGTACACCACGCGAAGCAGCTTCCCCCGCCCGTCTGGGGGATAGCGAGCTGGCCTTGGCTGCAGTCTTGCTGAAGTCTCTCCTTTTTTTGTGTAAACTTTGTGTGCGTGAGTGTTGGATCTGGGATTGCCCGAAGTCAACGTCATTTTCTACACTCAGCGGCCCTAGACCGCTTTTCTTGCAAACTGTGTGCCAAGATTTGTTTTGCCCGACTGCTGCAGCTATTGTGTACAAATAAAATAACTGCTGACTGCCATTACACGTTTGTTTTGGTTTCCTGGGTACGACGATAATAATCCATGAAAATCGTTGTGGGGGTGGTTGAGCCTAGGTTGGCAGATTTGCTTAATTCCGGTGCTCCACTTGTGAAAAACTCTCGGCCTCGGTGAAGGTTTTTGCGCAGCCAACGCTCTGCCACGGGGCTCACCGCGCACCGTGAATTTCATCCCACTTGGATCGATTTTACCCGTCGAATTACACAAAAGCAAGCTGACTGCCCAGGCAACATTTCCTAAGCATTCATTTAGAATCCACCAGAATAACTACTAATTGTTAGGAGGGCTTGATATATTCGCTGCCTGGGCAGTCAGCTTGCTGTTTTGTGATAGTGGATTTCATACAAGTAGTAAGTTGGGCGGGTAAAATTGATCCAAGAGTGGTGAAATTCACGGTGCGCGGTGAGCCTCATAGCTCAATGGTAGAGCGTTGGTTGGGCAAAATCCTGTCCTGCTGTGTGGGTTCGACTCCCACCGAGGCCGCGAATTTTTCACAATTAAGTCAACTGAATCCATGAAAATATAAACACGGGCGTTTGAGGGAATGCTAATCTCACTTCGGAATCATTCAAGAGTGGGGGTTGGAACTTTGTAGCTTTGGGAAGGGAAGGGCACAATGTGCTGCACCACTGGGCAAAGACCTGAAGATCCTTTTTTTATGAGCTCGAGCAAAATGTTGCGATCTGCCGGTTTATGTCGATAGGCAACTTTTAAATCGTCAGCGTACATAAAGGACCACCATACTGAAAACAATCAGGAAAATCCTTGCCCAAAAGGCAAAATATGAGCAAGCCAAACACACTAACCTGAATAAATCCACTCCTCACATGTGTTGTGTTGGAGATAATATTGGAAATATTAACTCGTTGTGTGCGAGCATCCGAATAGGAGGATACTAAAATCAGAAGTTCGTTACCTTTACCGAACGACGCAAGTTTAAGGATGAAGAGAGCATGCTCAATAAGGTAAAAAGCCTTAGTGAAATCGAAGTAGACGATGTAAAGGGCAAAACCGCTGTATCTAGATTGTAACACATGATTAAAGAAAGAGAGATGGCGGGTGTCACAAAATCTTCTTTCGAGGAACCCAAGCTGAGAGGCATTAAATAGGTTGTTCTCTGTTAGCTGACGCATCATCTTGTCCTTGGTCGAGGTCTCCAAGATCTTAAAAGCTGCGGGATGTGTAGTTATTGGTATATTCATGTTGAGCATACCTAGGTCATGCGTAACTTTCAAGAAGAAATTGAGATCATTTTGGCGTCTCATGATCCAGAAGGATCTAAGACTATATTTATTACACATTAGTACGTATGAACCCCGGAAGCCCACGCGGTTCGACAGAGATCTAGTTAAGTGTCTCTGAACGCCTTTTAGTTCTTTTAGGTCATTTCATGCA